AGTACAGCAGGGGGCTCAGCACACAGCCCTGTGGGGAGCCAGTGCTCAGCGTACGAGTGGAGGAGAGGTGGGGACCAAGTCTTACAGATTGGGGCCGATTGGTTAGGAAGTCTTTTATCCAGGCACATGTGAGGGAGGGAGGCCGAGATTGTAAATATATTTATAAGAATGTCCGGAATGATTGTATTAAAGGCCGAGCTGTAATCCACAAAGAGCATTTGAACGTAGCTGTGCTGTTGTTCCAGGTGGCTCAGCGCGGTGTGGAGAGCTACTGCAATACCATCCTCTGTGGACCTGTTGGTGCGATATGCAAACTGGTAGGGGTCAAAGTTCGGAGGGAGATAGTCCTTGATGTGCTGGAGAACTAGTCTCTTGAAGCACTTCATGATTACCGGAGTGAGAGCCACTGGTCGGTAATCATTCAGGCTGGTGATGGTAGGCGTTTTCAGCACTGGGATGATGGTTGCAGATTTTAAGCAGGGAGGGATGACTGCCTGGGCCAGGGAGAGATTGAAAATTCTGGTGAAGGTGGGGGCGAGCTGGAGGGCACATGCTTTGAGCACCCTGCCAGGTACTCCATCTGGGCCAGTAGCTTTCCTTGGGTTCACTGATTGGAGGGAACGTCTAACATCATGCTCCCGCACAGTGAATGGAGCGGTGCAGTAACCGGGTGGGTGTGGGGGCAGGGCAGGATCAGATGAGTGCTGCATCAAAGCATTCAAAGAAGCAGTTTAGCTCCTCTGCTAGTGATGCACTCAGGTCTCCTGTTGTCACCTCGCAGCCTCTACAGTTTGTGATGTTTTTTATGCCCTTCCACACCTAAGCATCACTCAACATGTTTTCTTGCACTTACGGTAATATACCATAAGCATCCCCAAAAGGCAGACTGTGATCCAATGCTGGCTCTAAATTAATTGCAAGCTGGACCAACATTGATTGGTAAATAAATGTTTTGTGTTGTTGTTTCTTTTTACTTGCTCATGGTCTCTCACATTTACAGTATTTATTTTTGAGTAGGGCTTTTTGTTTTCTTTGGTCTTTATGGTACCAAATCAAATGGGAGTATGCGGTCTAGATACACCTTGTTCGTATCCATACCATACCATACCATACCAACTTTATTTATAGAGCACTTTATGCACCCAACAGGACCAAAGTGCTTTACACACTATCCATTTATAGTTGGTAATTTTTGATAAGATGTCACTGGACTGTTGCTTTAATATTTTTTTAATAACCCAGCAAAATATGTTCTGATCTGCTGCATAGATTTTAATTAAACTCATTTAGCACACCCAGTAAATTGGTTATATAGTATCTATAACCGACTAACAGTAGGCATCAAACATGTCCGCCACAACCATTTTAGCATTTGCAAATCCAAAAATGGCTGAAATTCAGTCAGTTTTACAGATATTGAGCCAAAAGTTTGGTGTGGTAGTTACTGAGAGTCATCACCTGAATGCAAACAGATAGCATGAGATCTTACTATATTTTGTATGAACAAAAGCCATTGAAAACGGCGTTAACGCCATAATTTCTCAAGATAATATAAACCCAGAAAGAAGAGGAGTGATATGAACGTCTTTTTTGTAATTTTAGTCAATCAAATTTTGCAAGCAAGCAAAAATGTAAAGTTTTAGCCTGTAGGGTGATAAGAATGAATGACAGAAGTATCCAGTGCAACCGTAACAGGAAACAAAAATGTCATACAGATCTTTAATTATGAATTAATAACAGTAAAGTAGATGCTTCTCAGAGCCAGATTGTGTTGTCCTTTACCTGCTGTGGAGTCGATAGAGATTTGAGCAGTGTTGCACTTTTGAGCGCATGACTCAGAATCCTGTTTGTCTTGAAGATGGCACTCCACACAAGGTCTGGTGTTAAAACACACAACAAACAAAAGATTAGCCTAGGAGATCCTTTAGATTCAATGAAGCGCTCATCGTGGACACAAGGCGAATCCCAGTGTTCAGTTATCAACATTTTCCCAAGGCCACACTCAGTCTCCATCACCAGTCTCCCCTACACCAGCGGTATCAAATGGCACTATCCCTGACAGCTGCTTTGCAAAGGAGAAAGGAAATCTCTCAGTGCTGTGTTGGGGACATTAGTGTTTTTGATGTTCCAAGGAAGGTGTAGACACATGTGAACAAGGAAAGCAGAACCTAATATCCCTGAACTCAAAAGAACAGATGGATCATGTGGCACGAGAAAACATCTTATACTGTATCTTTCAGGTAAGGAAGTATCATTTATAGCAGGAAAGCTGACAAAATCCCCCACATTACACACTTATGTATCAAAAGAACAGATGGATTGTGGCACAGGAAGAAAACAACTGTAGGGATCCTGAAATGTTTTAGCTATGCACATTGCCTTTGATTAACATTAATTTTTTTTTTTTAAAACAACTGCTTTTCTCGTCTTTACATTAAGGGTTCTCAACTAATGCACTGTGGTTCATATCTTAACTCAAATGTAGTCCTATATAAACCCAAATTGCTTGGTACATTTCAGTAAGATCTTATCTCAAATTTATAGACATTCATTTTAAATGGGACACCTGTTCTAGTCATTTTGATAGCAGTACTCAAACGGTGGCAGATCTGAACACAAAGTTCTTTTTGGACCTAGATTGGATGGTAAACAGCAATAGAATATTTAGTTTGTTTGGTTGTTATTTCTGATGTTTTACCTGTGCCATTTGACTACCATTTGCCTTGGATAGAGCATAATGTAGCAGAAGTTTAGGATGGTCGCCCTTTGACGATCCACCCACATAGAGACGGCACTCACATTATATTGAAAACCACCATGTAGACGGGTTGCGTCGAAGCGAGTCATGTTGAGACTGGACAATTGAAAAGTGCTGTAAATTACCAAACACCCTTACTTATCTAAGGAAGAGATAGTATTGTGGTGTACTCACTTTGCAGCACTACAGGACTCTCCACATGTGGGGCACCTTTCACATTTGTTCCCAGAGGCTCCAGGAGCAGAGCACACACACTGGCCACACTTGCATTTGCCCCTGCCGCTGCAGAGGCCGCCGTCCTCCGTCACGCACGCCTCGATGCTGCTGCTGCAGTTACAGTATTCCCCCGTCCAACCGCTTTCACAGCGACACTCCCCACAGTCGCACACTCCATGACCTACAAGCATAAAATATTTCTAAGAATACCCGCCATACATCTGTCTAAATTAAGAAGTGGCAGTAATCGGATGTGATAACTCACCTCCACAGAGCTCCCCCCGGAAACGAACACAGGAGTAATTGTCACACTCACAGTAAGGACCATAGATGCGTCCAAAGTTGGATGCGTGACACACACACTTCCCGCAGTAACAGTCCCCCTGACCGTTGCATACTTCAGAGTCATTGGTGGCGAGGCAGTTACTTAACAAAACACTCTCGTCATTGCATTCACACTGGGCTCCAAGAAAGCCTGGGTGACACGCGCACACGCCACAGTGGAAAACCCCCTGACCCTCGGTGCATTGACTGCTGTTGGTCATGGGAGGCTGCTGGCAGTCACAGGAGCAGAGAGACTCCAGGTTCACCTCCAAGCTGTCCTGAAGGCCCACCGGCTTTAGGGAGAAGTGACGGACTCCTAACAGACATGTCGAAAGCTCCACGGACACGTTAAATACCACCTGCCAAACAAAGAAGAAGTTTTTATAAAACTACACCAATGGTCTCCAGTTAAAATTCAGCAAGGTTTGCCTAAACTGTCTACATATCTGGGATCCACTTTCATCCATGAACTATTTGTTCTAATAGCCTATTTCTCATCAGAATGTCCTGTTTCCCCAACATCTGACAGATCTTAGTAATCTTGGCAATGTCTAAGCCAGCACTGTATCAATTCAATGTCTTTGACCTCCACCCAACCAAAGCAGCACCAGGGTTTGAACCTTGAGCTCCGAATCCTCTCATAGGAGGTTCCATGCATGCATTCCTGTCTACCTGCCAACTGTGATTAAATGCTTGACCATTGAGATCCTAAGATCTCCTAAGGAGATCCTGGAACTGGCAAGAAACATGGCTCGTGACAGCAGAAGGACCAGGATCATCCCCTGGCACCTGTAGCTGGCTGTCTGTAGCGGTGAGGAGCTCGGCAGACTGCTGGGAGGAGTGGCTATTGTTCTGGGAGGAGTTCTTCCCGGCATTCAGGCGGTCCTGCAGCCCAAGGGAACTGAAAAGCCAGTCAGGTCTGGGTGGATGGATCGGACAGCATCTGCAGCAGTGTTGCCAGGTGTACGATAATTATCATATTTGTGCGACAATTTTGCCCTCTGTACGATCAATAATCTCAAAAAAGGCCAAATATGGGATAATTTGACCATTCCGTGAATGTGTGGTTGTAATCGGTTGTCATTAGCCTGTCGCAACTGTCTGTTGGAGTTTTTTTGAGAACCCTGAATGCATCTGTGTCCGGAAACAGATTCACGATTGGCTGGAATTTCCAGCCAATCGTGCTTTTCTAAATGTGACCTACGAGTGACGTGTATGCGTTTGCCTCAGAACAACAGCCAGGATTGGCTGAATAGTCCGCTGCACCCCATGAGTGAGGAAAAGAAAAGAAGAAGAAGCAGAGCCGGTCTGGAAGAAGAAGTGATGAAAATGAGTGAATAAATGGAAGGGGGGGGCTCATTAGTTCCCACCAGTCATTGTTTATGGAGGACACATTAGCCTAACGCAACTGTGGGGCTGCTGATGAATCCATTCCGTACTGACGCCACAAAGCTGTGAGTGCCTGTTAGACGCTATTCAACACTAGAGTGACTATAGCGCATCAATAGACTTGTTATTTTGGTTATGACGGGTGTACGATAATTTCCCTCAAAATACGATAATTTTATGTCTCTAGTACGATAATCCTACATTTCTCACCTGGCAACACTGATCTGCAGCCAGTTTCTTTGTGGGACAGACCTTAACAAGAGATCCTTCCTGCCATCAGTATCTATCTTGATGAAATGAGGATAATGAGTTACAGCATCATTTAATTTCCCTTTGAGATTAATAAAGTATTATTGAATTGAATTGAATTGATTTAATTGAATACCACAGTTGTAGCAACTTCAATCCACAAAAGTAGCTGCCGACTGAGTAGATTTTGCTCTGTGATGTGTTTCCAAAGAGCCATGCTGCGTCCAACTTGTTTTTTTGTGTATTTATTAAAACAAACAGGATGAACTTTTCCCATCCATCAAAAGCACCTGTATTACATTACAATTTACATCGCTGGTAAGTATGACTGAAAATAATGATATCGGTCAAAAAAGTGACGTTCAAAAGTGACGTCAACAGAAAAGTTTACAAAAAAAAAAAAAAAAAAATCCCACACCTGGTGCCATAACTCAGATCAGCCAAGTCATGTGTGACCACGCCCCTCATGCAATTACCTGAAGGGTAGGACAAATGTGAACACCTGTGCCCATAACATTAACTTTTGGCCCTTACAACAGTCGTGTGATTTAAGCACAGCACCAGCTTTTCAGATTTCTGAAACCAAACAACTCCACTTGAAGTGATCTTCCCCAAGATCTCCATGTCTACTGAAAACTACATCTTCAGACCACAGTCCTCAATAATGTTGTCCCTTACAACATAATAATAGTAATATAATAATAATACAACATAATACAAGTGTACATAATAGTGTACATAATTTCGCTCCACCACATGTACCACATGAGGTGCGAATGACGATAAAGAATCTCTGACTCTGACTCTTAACCACATAGAGCTTTCAAATCATGATAAAACTGGGATTATACTGCAAAATAAATGTGTGGCGATTAGCATTTATATTCGAAGCAGAAGTAACCGACCGTCTCTCCTGGTTTGATGTTGGAGCAGCGTTTCAGATCTGGAAAGACCGTCCCATTTGGACAAATGGTTGTGAAGGACATCCGCAGTTCCTCTGTGTCTCCAAGAGCCTCAAGCTCAATCTCTGAACGCAGTTCCTGGAAAACAGTTCCTGTGATTTAAATTTGACTCACCTATAGGAACAAAACAACATAAAACAGACTGAATGACTTTGGTTGTCATGAAGTGGAATTCCCTGACCAGTAAGTGTGCTCCTTACTTTCACCCTGCCATGACCTGTAATGTGCCAACTGCTTAACCTCTCATCTTTTCTAATTGTGTTTTTTGGTGAGTCATCTTCCCAGGTGTATTTACCTGCACAAAGCACCTGGAGGAAGAATGACAGCTAACCTCTGGTGAAGAATGAACTGAATGACGAATGAACTCTGACAGATTGTCTGGAAGTTTGCCACTGTTTTCTGTTGTAAGGGGGAAAAACTGGGACAGTTTTACGGGATACACCCGTACATGGATTATGTCTGTAAAACCGTTTGAAAGGTCTCCACTGTAAAGGCTGCAAGGTAAGTAGGATAGCTCAAATATCTACCTACTGAAGTGGATCCAGACCAAAGTAGAGTCTTACTTAGACACATATTGGTTGCTATAAATTAAATATATATATATTTATATATATATTTTTTTTTATCTGCACAATTTCTTGCATTTATCGGTACTACAACTGATAATAATCAAACTACCATAGGTTTTTTAGTTTATACACAAGTGGGCTACAAATAGTGTCCCTAGTCTAGATCCCGACTGAATGGACCCAGATCAGTTGTTAAATTACAACGGTACAACACATTTTTCTTTATTGTTATTATTTTTTTAATAGTAATTTTTTTTGTTTGTTTTTTTTCCCAGATGAATCAGATCTCAATCCAGACCTAGATGAGATAGTAAATTTCAATAGGGTGTTTTTTTTTGTTTGTTCATTTTTGCATTTCCGGTAAATCAGATCCCTATCTAGACCCTTAACTGGTTCAGGGGTTTTGTATTCACTGTTTGCTTTTTTTAACGGTGTTCTCTCACCGTCATAGTAATTTGTGCTTAGAGTATTTACATTGTAAAACTGCGCTCAAGATGACCCTTTTTAAATATCTGGTTTCAAATGGTGAACCGTGGTGTCCAGATCCCAACTAAAGTGAAGTATTTTATGAATCCAGATCAGTTGATGAATTTCAATTAGATGTTTTTATTTTTATTTTTTTAACTGTCCGTGGGTTTTTACATTTCCGGTAAATCAGATCAGAGCCATATCTTGACCTGGATCAGTTAGCAAACCTAAATTGTGTGTTTAATTTTTTAATTTATTTTTTTTACCAATTCATGTTTTCTCACATTTACTTTAATTAATTTTCAGCAAACTGGGTTTTCTAGCATAACTTTGCTCAACATTAGCAATATTATACATTATTCAGATGTAGATCAATTGGTAAATTAAAACAAACTATAC